CTAATGGCTACGAAACTGTAGCTCAGAATAGGTGTAGAGGAAATCGTAGGCCTCCAAACGTCAACTCTAGCGATAGAAGGATTCCGTTTATCCTACCCTTCATCTCAAATGATATAAGTACAGCTATAAAACGCTGCTTAAGAAGGGCGGGCTTAGAGAATTCGGTGAGCGTAGTTGAAATGCCACCGAGTAATCTTAAGCGCCAGCTAGTTCGTAACCGCCTATATGAACGTCTATGTGCAACTCAAAATTGCATAATTTGCCCCAGTGGTAGAGACGGTGATTGCATGAGCTCGGGTATAGTTTATCTGATCTCCTGTAAGACGTGTGGTGACGAATACATTGGCGAAACGGGTAGACCCCTCTGTGTCCGTATGAAAGAACACCTAGCCGGCAAAAATAGACCAAATACCCCGCTAGGCACGCATAGGACCCAGAGACATAACGGGGACGACTTCGAAGTATGTGTCACGATCCTCGCACGCGAATCAAGAACACAGGCGCGAAAAACTCTCGAGGCACTCTGGATTAATTCATATAAAACTGCTTTTCTGATGTGAGGGGCACATTATACTTCCACGTGATTTCTGTGCGGTTGGTCTCTACATGACATACTTAGTGGAAGCCTCATAGAAAGCGGTGAGTGTGCAAAGCTGTGTTCAATGTGATTGAAATCTTGGTTTAGAGTTTCTTTGTTTGGTTATGGAGGCGTCTGGCCAAGTAGATTGCTGTCAACTTGACCTTTCCAGGCTCTGAGGAAGGCGAAATCCGCCGAAACGTCAGCTCATTTGTGAATAAAGAATAATAACACCTCGCGTTTGCTCAACAAAAATACGAAGAATTGCTCTATTAGCCTTTGCGGGGGCCAACGCGTTCACCCCCATATCATGTGGGTCTTTCGTTTTGTCTGTCTCTCAGCTAGTTCTGTGTATATGTTCTATATGTTCATTATTTCTAGACACTAAAATAGCGAAACTAAAAGGTGGACGTCCTAAATTGATGATAAGATCGTAATTGTTAGGGACGGAGTCAAACTACTTAGAGATTTGATGTAATCGTCTTTCATTCATGGTCAGTCTTATGCGTAACTCTGACCAATCCAGTCGAATGGAACTCAATTTTCATCGTCGAAAGATGAGATGAGAATGTCTGCATGATTTGGATTTTGCTTCTTTTAATGCTCTATTGTAATACGGTTAGTGCATTTATTGCCATTCTTTCACTTTTCGTTACGGTTACCTTTGCCGATGGAAAATCACTAACCCAGAGATCTTCTCCAGAAAAAAGGGTCTCGTGATCGTGAGGCGTAGTGGTTACATTTTCCCCAATAAGCCCTTCATCTCTTCATGTTCGGCAAATTGATTCTAGACTTGTCTAAGAGGACAAAAACACTAACTTTATATGTCGCTATTCCCTCATCTCTAAGTTATTGTATAGGCTATATTTGCATTGAATCAATCACCTCTACGATACTACGAATGGGGTCGAATGCTTAGTACATCCCTCAGAGATGTGCCAACGTTGAACATTCTATCGGTTATACATGCGCTATAAACTATTGATGGGACAAATAGCAGTGATGCTTAATGAAACTATTTATTTATTCCGTTTGCAATGAATAAAAGCACTTACTTCACACTTAGTAACTACACGCTTAAAGCTGGCGTCGATCAGATTTGTTTGATATGTACAGTTTTTGAAAAGGCATGAAACACATGTCCATGTACCGCTCATTGTCTGCAGAAGATAAGAAAAATAGCAAAGAAGGTACTGAGAAAAGTATTAGGCAAAAAGAAATGAAGCAGAAAACCTACCGATGTTCCCTTAGTGGCGAATAGATGGTGATTACCAGGTGATGGAGCGGCTGCCGTGAAGTACCTATAGTGACGAAGTTCGATTTGAGAATGCATTGTATAGGGAATGACTGATATTTTCCTCTCAAGGCCAGAACTTTATTATGTTTGTTCTCAATTTAAACGACTTCTGTACTCTCTTTTTTCCTATTCATTTTTCTCAAAAGACATATTAGCGAGTGTTTTCCCGCATACCTCCCAACGGTTTACTGCCTCATCGTAGCTGGGAGGTGTTCCTGGGTGTCGGACTGCGATGTACAAGGGGAGATTCGCCTCCATGGCAGGGTCTTCCAGGCTGAGAAGGAGTCCGGCGATTCCATCAGGAGGCCCAGCTAAAAGTAGATACGAGAATCCACCACCATCCCAGTATCAAACTAATTGCGTCGTGGCAAATTCCCCTCAGATCCACAAGGGCTGTGACTCCTCGTGGTGGTGATCTGGGCAGACTTTGGCCAGGCTGACCTCGAGATTCCAGGGAACCACAATGGCTTAACCAGAAAATCTGCGATAAATGATGATTAAGCTGGGGCCAGCATAATCAATGAGGACGGACCGTTCAAGTGTAAAGTGTCAAGTTTCCCGGATATCTTTCGTTTCTTTCAAGTTAATCGTATTGCTTTCCCTTATAGAACAAACTACTTTACCTTACTTACCATTCTTTCTACTTCTGCTTGATAGCGTTGAACTTTAATTTCATGAAAACTACGAGCAGAAGTTGTGTGCCAGTTTTACCTCATGCTTTTGACCGTAATAGTGAAACGAGAACGTTGTAAGAATCCTATTTCTAGACATATTTCCTTACCGGATATATAGTACATTATTAAACTAAAGAGAGGTGCAATATTAGGCCTTGAAAGTAGCTATAAGTAATCGTTCTTTTATCATGACGTTTTCATGACATAATAGTGGTAAGCAGAGGGCGGATAGCACAGTGGTAGTGATGCCGATCATCACGAGAGCGCTGCTGATTCGATCCCGCCCCAGGCTCACCAAACTCTCACGCCTCCGGGGTCAGCAATTTGGTCTGTCCGTTTGACTTGTCCGTAAAAACTCTGCGATGCGAGGAGGAACGCCCCAGCCCGAATATCTAAGGACTCCAGACAAAATCGACTCTACCAGCATTCTACGACATTCAAGACTAAATGAGAATCCTCAAGCAGCAGCCGAAGCCGCAGGTAAAAGTTGGAAAACCTTCGTGGATGATGGAAACGATTCTAATGTGAGAAGTGCTGGGATCTGCACAGTAGACGTGAAGATGGGTCGTATAGAACGAAATTTTAAAAACTGATAAGTACGCTATTGTGTATCATCCGTCATAAGCAAGAAAGGTTAAAGCCTTCGGCGTTGATCAGGCGCTGAGTAATGCACCGTGCCTCAGATCCATTCGTAAAGTCGAAGAGGTTATTAAATGCATATCGGGCCTCTGCAGTGACTTGCGATGGCCGGCGGAGAAATCAGATAAGTCTGGTACCAATTTGTCAAGCCTGGAATGGTAGAGGAATTGGTGAACCCGGGACACATGATCGAACCAGTGACAAATCTGGTGTTTATTGATGGGCACCTCTAAGAATTCTGCTAAATCAGCCTCCAAGCGATCCATTATACGAATGGTAATGATGGAATGCTTTCGTTGGAATAATTTTGACTTATGGAATGATTTTCTTCTGTGCTCGGAAATTTTCTACATGAATCATCCTAGGGTGTGTGTTAACGTGGCTACCGTTGTTTAATTTCAAGCACTGCTTCTTCAAATGGAGGATATGAGGTTACAGATGTACTAGGATGCAGAAAGTGGGTTCCTTGTCGCTGCCATGCCGGAACGGCTCATACAAAATCTCCCACAAGAACACAATGACATTCATGCAAATATAGATGTATTGGACGTGAATGCGAATTGTATCCTGGATTTCCGTATCCTATGTTCGATTAGAGGATTTAAAAATATACCTTATTTCCATTAGAAGTGTTCCACGTTAACTCAGAAAGAACCCGTTGAGCTGTATTTCGACCACAGTTCTTGAAAACCATTACAAAAAACGTCTCATACGAAAATATAGCATTCTACATATACTTGCGGAACCCACCGGTAGCTGTAGATGGGACAGCAACACGTGCAGAGTTCTACTCCTCACTTGACTCATTCGATAATTAAAGGAATTACGGTGGCGATTAAGCACAAACTGAGGTAGCATCGGCGCGGGAAGTGCACTACTTAAAGATTTCGTGGAGTAGTGGAGTATATAAGTGACTGCTGGTTCAACTTCTCCGTGCGCCAACTAAGCCTGTCATTCGTTCTAGCTACTAACAAACTGGTGGTAGACCTGCCTGGCAGAATCAATCACCGATCCTTAAATTGTGGTGACCGCCTGTGACAAAGATCTGCGAACACTCTAGTAGAGCCATCGTAGGATTCTAAGGAGAATCAATCCAAGTAGCATATTTCTTAAGAGACCGACGTCCTCCAGTGGGCCACTCGAGTGGGTTCGACAGAATCCACACGCAAATTCGAAGAGCTTTGTGTGCGATGGATGCAAGCGAACGAGCCCAGTGATGCAGATGCAGGCATCGGCGCAATGTATTGACTTGGGTCATATGAAAGAATTTTAAAAATAGATCTTTTTGCCATCAGCAATCACCCGTCAACGGAATTTGTCTGGGGAGCCCAAATCGGTGTTGAACCCAGTTAATCTGAGGCTTAGTTATAATCACAATCTTAACCCTTTTATCTACTGCCTTTTTCTTCTTAATGGCAGGGTATGTTGCGAAATATGACTCGATTGACATCGATGTAATACTGAGATATTTGCAAAACTCCGGACCGCAGGTGTATGCGGTGGGGAACGAACACGCGTTGTTGTCCTTACCGGGGAGCAGCGAACTTCACCACCACACCATTCGGGCCCTTTGTTTCGCCTGTCTCTCAGCTAGTTCTATCGATCTTTTTGCAATCAGCAATCACCCGTCAACGGGATTGATCTGGGGAGTCCAAATCGAGTTATATTTCGCAACACACCTTGCCATTAAAAAGAAAAAGGCAGTAAATAAAAGGGTTAAGATTAAAAAATAGAATTAGTAGTAATAAAGTCGTGATTGCGGACACCAGATTGATGATCTGGCTAGTTTTGGGAGAGCTAAAAATTCGAATAACTCTACCCACATAGTGTCTGTTGCCCTGTCAAATGCTTCCAGTTTAGTGACATCAAAGTTTCCGGCAGAAAGGTACGACAACTTGGCCCATTTGAAATCGTTCCCGTTCTCCATCTGAAGTTAATGAGAAGGCGAAGGAGCAGTTAGATAGTTTGTAGAATTTAACGCTTAGAAATCTGAAGAATGTATCATAAATGTACCATGTGCGGAAACGGTTACGAATTACTAGATCTTATACATACTGAAGGTAATACTCATAACGATACCTCTATAAGAAGTTTGGCGATTTGTTGATAACTATTTCCATCGGATTGGGCCCTTGGAAGAAGCATATAGATCGCGTCACCACTGCCGAGAATCGACGAAAAATCCGATGGTTCAGCCCATTTATCAGCGTCGTACTTGTGCTCAAACACCTAAGTTTGAGAGAAAGTTATTCGCATTGTTGTAATCACTAGGACTACCTCTCTATTAACCTCGATGTTGATCAACGATCTATTCTTCTGCTGATTAAATTCATTGAATTAATCGGATTATAATGGAAAATAACAAGATGTTCCATTCTACTCTATATCAAAGATGGCCCTTAAGTTATGTCCAACTGCAACAGATTGTTGCGAAAGTTATTTTTTCCCTAAAAAAGGTAGAAATGTCTTACCAATGAACACATGGCCGTGTCGTAGTCACATATGGTCACCGAAACATGGTTTTGTAGTCGATTCGCCCAACTTGCAACTAATCGCTCCTTTCCGTTCAGCATCACCCATCGAACTCCATAAAGATAGTGAAATGCCCTAAATGCTGTAAGGTTATAGACAAACGGTATCAAAATAACAGGTACTCTCAAAATTAAAACGATGGTTATTTGTTTGCTGTTTTTTATTGGAGTTCCTCTTTCTATAGCAAGGTTAATATACGTTCCTCTTACGGCTTACGGCCTATTCGTGGCTGAGAGGTGTTTTTGGGTGTCGGGCTGCGACGTACAGCGGGAGGATTCGCACCCGGCAAAGTGTCCCAAGCCGAGAAGGAGTTCGGTGTTTCCATCAGGACGCCTAGCCAAAAGTAAACCAATACCAGAATCCACCACTGTACTGGTGTCAAACTAGTCGCACGGTGACAAATCTCCCTCTGATCCACAAGGGCGTCGATTGCTTCCGATGGCGAAGACCTAGAACAGACTTTGGCCAGGCTGAGCTCCAGGGAAACGCAATAGCTAAACCAGCAAAACTCCGAAAAATGGAAAATATGCCGGGGTCAGTACAATCAGTGAGGACGAGCAGTCCAAGTATCCAAGTAAGTTAATATACGTTGGTGTATGCTATAGTTTAGCATGATAGCTTTTTTTGAAGTCATTGATGTCATATTAAGATTACTTGACTGGCTTTTTTTAGACCTTAGTAGCTATGCACATCTTATTCGCTTGAAATGTTGTCAGAAGTGCCCAGTGATACACATTTCGTCGTTTCTTCAGTTCCATACCACGGGTTTACCAAGCTTTCCATCTCTCTTGTGCTGCGAAATTTGTATCAGACTTGTTTGGGAGGATAGCATCACTGACTCGACACATCGATAGGCCTCCTCTATTCATTGTACACTTCAGATACAGATTCAATCACCTCTACCGATGTTTAGTGATGTCAAACGTATGGCATATCCCTCGGGGGTTGATCAACGCGGAACGCTTTAGCCTTTTTATCTGTTGGTATAGTAGATGTTTGAAGAAAACAGTTAACAGTATTTTGAATAGCAAACCTAGCTAGGATAGAGGATGAAGTTTTCGGTGTTGATCAATTTCTGAGGGATTCGCCACCCACTGGACTTCATCAAACATCGCTAGGGGTGACTGAATGCATATCTGGCCTATACAATGGCCCACAGCATCCTACCGATGGATCGAATCAGTGCTGCTATCCTCCTAGGCAAACCTTGCACCAATTTCCACTCAAGGGATGGAAGGCTAGGTGAGCACAGAACACATGGTCAACCTAAAGACAACGCGTATGGTGCTTGGTAACTCTAACCACTGCGCTACACTCCCCTAACAAACCTGTCATTTTTTTGGATAATATGAAAAATAAAAGTGAAATCTATGGGATGGTGATGCCTACGTGCTGTCTCGTAACTGCACATCCATCTGCTTCAGAGTCCTTAGATTCTTGTCCCACATTTTAATGACGTAAGTTGGCAAATGTTTCTCATGAGTTTTTGGATACGGTAGCTCCAGTGTATGAGGATAGCTCTCTCGACGTGAATAGCTGAAAATGAAGTTAGCAGTATGATTGAGGCTAAAATACATAGGATAAATAGAAACATTACTATTGAAGATGATAAATTTCTAGAAAAAAAGTGTATACCGAGCGCTATAAAGTACTTCGTTGTCGCACACTGAACTGCCAGCGGTCAGTGACATAATTGAAATGTTGCTTGAAAAAAGGTGTACGACTAATATTAGTAAGACCACCCTTCAGTTTTGCTGCCATAATCACACTATCTTTCACAAGTATGGAAGCTACAAGAATATCATTTTAGCATGGTTAAACATGCGTATTGATTCATTCCGCCAATCAATCAATACCCATAGGTTACACTCGGCTAAATAGTTCCTATTCGACAACATTGTAGAAGGCCAATACCTACCTAACCAATGTTATAGACTTCTCCTTGCTTTTCTCATGGCTTAGGTAGACTATTTTATCGCCCGATAGCGACCACCAGACTGCCTAAATTTACAGCCAAAGTACGTAACATCGAAAAAGAATTTATCTTAGAAATTTTATGCTTGCTTCCTCATTTCTCCTTAAAGCACTGAATCATAATGTCTAATAGATTCTTGGAGAAAACTACTTGCATTTGCTTTTCTTTCACAATGGTTAATTTTATCGCTAATACAGTAATATACTACCAATCTTTTGTTCAAAGTAAACAGCGTACAGCAATTTGAACAATTCAGTACCTGGACACATGGATGCTTGGTCGGCCCCTCCTCACTGTTTGTGCGCGCCCCAGCATGTTCTTCATTTTTCAGAGAGGTTTAGCCACTGTTCCCCTGAGTCGCGAGCTCAGCCTCGCCAAAGTCTACCCCAGGCCGTCGCCACCACAAGAAGTCGCCGCCCTTGTGAATCTGGAGCGAATTTGCCACAAAGCAACTAGTTTGATACCGAGATGGTGGTGGGTCCTGGTATCGGTTTACTTTTAGCTGGGCTTCCTGATAGAAACGCCGGACTCCTTCTCAGCTTGGCAGACCCTCCCGGGATCAGTATTAGATAATAAAAAGCTTCTACAATATTATTTGGTGAAACGTTTTCTATAAGCGTTACTCTTATTGTCTAGGCATCTGATGAACTCTGCTGTCACTAACTTTTTATTATATCTGTAAACCTCTCACCTACACGGAAAACCGTTGCCAAAAAACGCCAAAAATGCCAACCAAAGTGCCCCGGAATGATTTCTCGTTGGTATTCTGAGGAAGTCATGCCGGACTTTTCCTCATTTTAACCATACGAATTTCCAAATTATTGCGGATTGAAGGGAAGCTGTCGTCTTAAAAGTAGTCTTCTTACTGTACAGCGATGATTTCCCGGCATTGGCTTCTTTCATTTGGTTTCTGGGTTAAAATTTCGGAATTCTTTCTTAGCAGGGAACCCACAATTGAGGAATGAATCCAATTGGAGATCACATCTAAACAATCGGGAACACCCTCTTTCTAGGGACGGTAAGCCAGGAAGGATAAGTTTCATGATGTATATTTTTGTTACTCTATGTTTTGTCGATGGTCATAGCATTAAATGTACATATACATATGCATAAATAGAAAAACACTAGCGTTCGGTCAATCTCACTTTTGACTGGCGTCCGAAAATTTCCTCTTCATACATCCAATCGAAAATACCGTGCTCCCAATTTGGCCCGCCTTCACTGATTTGTACTGGCTTAACAGATTCGGCCGAATCGGAGTAATAGATATGACCGCCTTGCCAGAAAACCTGCAATGGATATTTTTTTTCAGTTCGTAAGAAAAGAAGTGAAAGAAAAGAGAGAAACGCCCGACATAGTCGTTTCCTGTAGGACCCCACATGAAAATTCGTTGCTGTTCTTCACCCGTTTTTCTGATTCCCACGTTGTAAGCGACCCTGGAAAGGAACATAGCTAAAGCATTAATCGCTTTCATGCTTGTCTTTGATTTGTTCCGTTGTTAACGTACGCATGTCACTAATCTCCGCATCACTCCAGGGTCGGGTTGCAAATAGGAAAAAAAAGATTTTTGTCTTCGCTGCTGGTTCCATGATAACAGCTGAGTTTAAGTCAATAATCATTTCTTCGAAATGTTTATAAATAAAACACTACTTTTTGGTGAGCGTATTTCTTCAAAAACAAAGAAAATAGGCTACATTTTTATTCGCTGCCTACTATAATTTTTCACGGCAGGGTATTATGTGTGATACAACCACAATGACACGGAGACATGCAATTATTATAATGCTGAGATATTTGCAAAACTCGGGACCGCAGGTGTCTGCGGTGGGGGACGAACGCGCTATTGTCCTTTCCAGGGAGTAACGCGTTCACTACCACACCATGCGGCTCCTTCGTTTCGCCTGTCTCTCAGCTAGTTCTATCGATCTTTTTCCATCAGCAATAACCCGTCAACGGGATTGATCTGGGGAGCCAAAATTGGCATTAAACCCAGTTAAGCTGAGGCTATAGTTGTAATCACAATCTTAACCTTTTTAATTTACAGCCTATTCTTTTTAAAGGCAGGGTATTTTGCGAAATATAACTATTATATCTTTCTACTTCTGTTCAGCAAGCACGAGGTGCTATTTTATTTCTTTATTTACGCACAAGCTGACGTTTCGGCGGATTTCGCCTTTCTCAGAGCCTGGAAGGGTCAAGTTGACAGCAATCCACTCGGCCAAACACCTCTATAACCAAACAGAAAAAACGCTAAACCAAGATTTCAATCACATTTAGCATAGCTCTGCACACTCACCGCTTTCTATGAGTCTTCCATTGAGTATGTCGCGTGAAGACCGACCGCGCAGAATTCACATGGAAGCGTAATGTGCCCCTCCCATCAGAATAACAGGTTTATATACTGTCCAATATCACGCGTGATAACGAGGCATTCCTCCCTGCGGTTCATTTTCGGATTCTTGGAATTTATCCAGAATGCCTCTAGAGTTTTGCGCGCTTGTGTTCTCGATTCTTGCGCGAGGATCGTAACCCTTACTTCAAAATCTTCTCCGTTATGTTTCTGCGTGCTATGCGTACCTAGTGGAGTACTTAGCTTACGTTTGCCGACTAGGTGTTTTTTTATACGTACGCAGAGTGGCCTACCCGTTTCACCAACGTATTCGTTCCAGCAAAAATCATTATTATCTCAGTTATCTCAGCATTATAATGGTTATATTTCGCAAAATACCCTCCCGTTAAAAAAGTAGGCAGTAAATGAAAAGGTTAAGTTACTGAGATATTTGCAAAACCCTGGACCGCAGGTGTCTGCGGTGGGAAACGAACGTGCTATCACCCTTTCCGTGGGCCAACGCGTTCATCCCCACACCATAGACGTCCTTTGTTTCCCGTTTCTCCGGTGGGTGAACGCGGTAGCCTCCGGAAAAGGTAATAGCGCGTTCGTTCCACGCCGTAGATACCTGCTAACTGGTGTTTTGCAAATACCTCAACATCAAAGAAAATAGGTTTAGAAGAAGTTGTAGTTATATCACTAGATCAAATAGGAGGATTGTCGGTTTAATTCCATTCATTGCTAAGCTGTCTGTTAACTAAATCCTCATGAAGCTGTATGAAAATCTTACGTCTGACCATACTATTACCTCTCAATATCAAGGATCCTAGACATTTTTCCAACCACGATATTCTCAGTTGTTCTCTCAATGTTGTTTTCCATTTCGTTTTCGATTATGTTAAGGAATATACAAAGCGTCGTAGATGTTTTTTTAAAGAAAGAAAGACTCACAGCTTTTCGCGATTCAGAATGGTAATCCAGAATGTTTTGTTGAACTTCTGGTTTATCTGCAATCATGCATTTTACGTAATTCGCACTATCTTATTATCAATTCTATATTGTAATGAAACAGTGCGTGTGGCGCAGTGATTGGAGGCGCTTTGCAACACACACATGGGATCATCCACGCCCCCGTGGCTCGCCAAGCTTTCCGTCCCTCCGGAGTCGGAAAATTGGTACCAGACTAGTGTCTAGAGTCAATGTAAGGGCCAGATATGCGCTCAATCATCTCCAACGATACTTAATGAAGTCGAATGCATGGCGCATCCCTCGGGGATTGATCAACGCTGAGAGCTTCATCCTTTAGCTTTAATGAAATACTGATAGAGCTTTTAAACGTTTTAGTAAAAGTAAAAAATTTTTTCAGATATTAATAGAACGTTAAGCGAAAGAATTATTACCTGATATGAGGTGCGCTGGAAAAGTGCAAAGTATCGTAAATCTGCTGACGGTACGTATTCCGAATATGACAGCTGTAGAAGTATGAAAAAATGGTTTACTGTATAAAATTGCGTCATAAAAGCAAAAATTTTCTAATCGTGAAATTTATACATGGTTGTTTCTTTTATACCAACTCTTTACACCCACTAAAACGAATTAATGAATCTTTTAACTCATATGCTCATATTGAGCATAATGTGCTCATATTATGTTAGACTGACGGCACACTAAATAGGAAACAGATCTGTTAGGATACTTAGTTGGCCCCTCTTCGCTGGTTTTGTGGATCCCAGCATAATTTCCAATACGAATATTTGCTCGTTTGGACACTGCAGTTCCCTGGAGTCTCGAGGTCAGCCTAGCCGAAGCCTTCCTTAGGTCGTCACCACCCTAGCCAGTTGCCGTTCTTGTTGATCGGAGGGAGTTTTCCCACTATGAGTGTGATAGAAGGATAGTGGTAAATCCTGGTATTGATTTAGTCCTAGCTGGCCTTCCGGATGGTAACGTAGGAGTCATTCTCAGTTTAGGAGGCCCTGCTGAGAGGATGAACCTCCTATTGTACAACGCAGTCCGACATCCAGGTACACCTCTCGGAGACGACAAGGCGGTAAATCGCTGGGAAGTTACTTATGTTGCAGAACCTTTTAAAAACTACCCTTTTTCCGTTTTTTCTGGGCTATTTATTCATTTCCAGGTTTTTTTGACTAAGACTAACCTATTTGATTTTTTCTGATTTGATAACTGTCAATTCTTAACTATGTTATAGTACAAGTTCTAAAAATTTCCTACAGTGTACCACATCAATTAAGACATGAAAATTTCATCCGTAAACCAAAACAATAGCGTATAACTTTGTTCTGAGATCTTATCTGGTGGAAAAGTGACAGTAATATTGCTCAAGTTTCATACTAACGAAGGCATGCCGCGCTGCGTAAAACCTGTGTATTGATCGTATCGCGGGGACAATCCATAGATACACCTGTATTCACTCTGCCTTGCGCTCCTAGTATTTAAATAAAAGCAACACTAGTGAAGTCTCTCGCTGAACTACCGGTGATTTTTAGAGTTTTTTTTTCAAGTTTCTTTAAGTTTAAGTGCTTTAAGTGATGTTTTAGCTCTCTATGCCTCCAGATACCAACCGTTGCTCGAGTATCCAGCAATGTGTCCGTTTTCACTGTGTTGATGTCGAATCGTAGCACACCTTTGGTTATGTCCTCGTAGATGATAGAATCCGTACCGCTCCATCGTACATCATAAATAGGCGATCGAAGCCTTGACATATTCGACAGCTTTATTGGAGTACGAGGATCACTAACGGTTAGCGACACTGAAATTGTGAAAAGCATCCATCTGACCACAAAACCAGTAACTCACGGAATTCATTTCGATACAATAGGCGGATACCTGTGAAAGGTCTATTGAAAATCACGTGATCTGCTATATTACATATGTTATCTAAAGAACCTTCCAGAAGGATGTTAACATATGAGCAGAAGTCGGAACCCCATGTGTGCTTCGAACTTCCGCTTACCCTTACCGGTGTCTCACTTACTTTCCACCACACCAACCGTGGCTCCCACTTTACCTTTCGCTGTACTATGAGCCTTTAGATGATTGCTAATTGTCATTAAATATGCCAGATACGGTTCATTCACCTCTAACGGTGCTTAACACTTTCGTGGCGAGTAACACCTATAGGTGTCATAATGGTTTTGGTGGAGTAATGCGACAGTCGCAGCCCTTGTGGATCAGAAGGAGATCCTGGTATTGGCTTACTCTTAGCTGGGCTTTTCGGTTGAGACGCCGGGCTCCTTCTCAGCTTGGGAGTCCCTGCCGGAGAATGAATCTCCGCTGTACATCGCACGATGAGGCAGTAAACCGTTGGAAGGTTATTTTCTGGGGTTTTCGTTATTTTCTTTCAGGTGGTTTATTATGACACAGAGAACTATTTTCTATACCTTATGTTACCAATGGATATTGTGTACAACACAGACATTGCGCTGGACGTTGATCGAAAAAAGCTTTGTTCCGTACTTAGAAATATACAAATAAACGCTTCCGAAGTGAGTTCACTAACAAGAAACTTGGGTGCTATTCCACTGCTACTTCGATTCTAACTGCCGTAGTGAATGACTCAAAGCGTGTGGTGGTATAAAAAACGCTGGAATAGAGATGCATTGATGACAAAACAGTTTCAAATGCTGGCGTATTGCGTTTCTATGATGGACCACAGTAACATATGGTAAATAGCGCCATAATTATCATCACACCCATAGAACGATAGAGCTACGTCTTTTCTGCAATCCATTCACGTTCACAATCCGCGAAGTTCTCTAGTTATCGGACACTTGTTGCTTATTTTAGGAAAACTAGCAAGTCTATAAAAGCTGGTAGTTGAGCGTCATCCAATCAGCAACAAATGCGAGGTAAGATACGGATGTAGAAACCTCGTTTTAACCTCCGTTTTGCCGATGACGTATGACCGACGTAGTAATTTGTAAAGGATTGAACTAACAATCAAACATATCAGTGGGAATCATAACAGAAGGTGGAAGAAAAATCTATCGACGAATCTGTCATGTGTCGTTTAGAAGTAGAATCGCCTTGCGATGGTTCACATTATAAGGAGACGTTCGCTCCCAAATTACCCAAATTTTTATCTAGAAATGGTTACACTCGTATATAATACTGAGATATTTGCAAAACTCCGGACCGCAGGTGTATGCGGTGGGGAACGAACGCGCGCAGTTGCCCTTACCGGGGAGTAGCGCACTTCACCACCACACCATCCGGGTCCTTCGTTTTGCCTGTCTCTCAGCTAGTTCTATTGATCTATTTCAGCATTATATACGAGCTATATTTCGCAACATACCCTGCCATTAAAAAAGAAAAAGGCAGTAAATAAAAGGGTTAAGAAAGTGGAAAGGTTTTAATGGCTTGAAGTAGTTAGGGTTAAAGACGAAGAACATCTGGTTCCGAAGGTTTTGAATCCGTATTTCTCTGGTAAAACCGTGACCATTTTAGCGCATAGTTCGGAAACATTTGTACAATATTCTAGTAAAAATGCTAATGAGAGCCAATATTTTGCATGTGAAAGAAGCTATTCATCAGTTCACTTTTATATGACCGGACTTCACATATTGTAACCGTAGCGCTTTCAATTTGTCTCGTGTCTCTCACATTTACCATAAACAAATGTCTTCAGGTTTTCCGCATGGATTCACCTACAGTTTGAGGACTTCGTGTTCTTCTTGAGTGGTGAATGCTGGTCAAGCAGATTATTCCAAGAATTCTAGGATAGCTGTACTAAAGCATTCTAAGATACCACAGCAACGCCAGTTTTGGAAATCGGACGGAGATTTTCTCAAAGAATTTTAGCACCAATTTGCCCACTCATGAGAGCATACCTCTGAAGGCCTGGTGGGCGCCGACTGGCGACCACGGGTTCTATAACCACTGCGCTTCCCTCCCCACTTTGATAATTTTACAATAGCCATAATTGGTCCAAGTATTAGAGTTAGGGCAACATTTTATTCCATCGAACATTTTGAGAATACGGTTGGTCGAGGAGTCGTCTACCCAGTGGAAAATAGGAGAGACATCGACTGAAATTATAAAATTTGAGGGATATTATTATGAGCTTCTACAGAAATATTGCAGGGGAATTCAACTAGTCACTGTCTTTATTTTTGTTGACCGATTGAATCGTCTGGGTCTCAGTGAAATCTTGGTGCGTATCGAGTCGGGAGTCGATCGGGTTTTTTATCGTCATTCCTTAAATGTCGACAGAATGGGTGTTTTGACCATAGTCGAATAGGAATGGACTTTTGCTTCAATCTACCAATTAGTCACCGTCTCTGTTTTTGTCACCCGATGGAACGGTGTGGGTCTCAACGAAAACTGGATGCGCAGTGGGTCGGAAGTCGGTCGGGTGTTTTTCTGTCATTCCTTAAATATCGAGAGAATAAGTGGTTCTGATCATGTTTAAATCAGAATCTATTTTTGCTGCAACATATGACTGCCATATGAGAAGCTATGAAGAGATTTGATATTTTCTCCTTCTTGAATAAATTTAGATATTTAGATATCTAAATTTAATATAAGATAATTTTTAGATTTTTTAAAGATAATTTTTTATAGAAATATAATATAAGATAATTTAAATTTAGATATTTAGAGAGAGACATTTAGAGAAAAATCAAAATATTAGTTAAACTTCGACAGCTATGATTTTCCCCACCTCCACTTACGTTGAACTTAGTCGGTTTTATTATTAAATGCTTTTATCACTGATAGAATTGATTTTATTGATAGAAAACTAGCTAAGAAAAAGACAAGATGAAAGATCCGCATGGTGTGGTCGTGAACGCGTTAGCCCCCGGAAGGGGAAATAGCGCGTTCTATCTCTATTGCGTACACCTGCGGTCCGCAGTTTGCAGATATGCCAGTATCATTGCTGCTGTTTTTCACGTAATTCTCTGCAGTGAAAAATTGCAGTAGGCAGTAGATGAAAATTTCACATTGTGTTTTTATCATTATTTATTTTCGTTGCTGTTATTATAAGGGGCGGATAGCACAGTGCTAGTGATGCCGATCATCACGAGCACGGTGCTGGTTTGATCTCGCTCTGGGCTCACCAAACCTCTTATCTCTCCAGAGTCGGAAGATTGGTATTAGACTGGTCCGGGAAAACCACCTCTGCAATCCATGTGGGAGCGGTTATCTCAGGACCAGGGAGAATCAACTCGACTCCTCTCGAAATTCATAATGAAAGGAAAATTCTTAAGCAGCGGCCGAAGCCACACGTAAAAGTTAGAAGACCTTCATGGATGATGAATGTGAGGAAAAGAAATCGATTGTGAGAAGTAACGAGATTTGTACAGTAGATGCGGAAGACGGGTTGTGTAAAATAAACAAAAAATGTTGTTATTATTAACTATTGGACTTCTTACAGGCGCACAGTGTTTGAAGGCGCCCTGCAGGACACATGGGATCGATCCTGCGCCCTAGGTTCACCAATATTTCCATCTCTCTAGGGTCAGCAAATTGCTAGTATACATGTCTGCGAAGATACCAACAATGGCTCGAACATCGGCAGTCAACCATGAGTCCTTGTATAAGCCAGATATGCATTCTATCACCTATACCGACATTTGAGGAAGTCCATTGGTAGGCGTATCCCTCAAAAATTGATCAACGGAGAGTTTTATACTTGGAGGGGGAAGGTATCGCAGTGGTTAGCTAAGCTATCCATCAGGAGATAAGGTTTTCCTTCGACTCCCCTCCCAACCTTCTTCTCCAATTCACGTGGGAAAGCTTTAACCCGGCCATCTCGAAGAACATAAAGGGAAATTGACTCAACTAGCATTCTATGACATTCATAAAAAAGACGAAATCCTCACGCTTCAGTCGAAAGAACACCTGAAATGTTCGAAGACCTTCGCGGAAGATGAATGCGGGGAAAGCAAATCGAATGCAAGAAGTGCTGGGACCCACACAGTAGATGTGATAACGGGTCACGTAAAAATAAGTGAAAAAAATTATTGACTACTAATTATATCGTCGTAGCTTTATTTTCCGATATACCAATTTCCCGATCCCGAATGTATGAGAGGTTTGGTGAGGTCGGCGCAGAGTTAAACCTAGGTCATCTTCATGATGAACTGCGGTAACGGAGTGATAGCGATGCCGTTTATTACGAACACGGTGGCTGTTTACACAGCACCGAGCTTACCAGTTCTCTCATACCAGAGTCGGGAAATCGGTACCACAGTTGTGTATGAAAAGCTTACTCTTTGCAGTTCACATGAAACGCTTTAGCACGGCTATCTCGGAACTCTAGAATGAATCGACTCGACTAGCATTCAATCAAATTCATGAGGAAGAAGAAGAAAATTCTCAAATAGGATCCGAAGCCACACGTAAGTTGAAAGACTTTGGTGGATAACAGATGCGAGGAAACGAATCGAGTGCAAGAAGTGCTAAGATCCGCACAGTAGGTGTGAAAGACAAATCGCGTTGAATGAAAGACAAGAAAATTCTACTTTCCTTTGTGCAAATTATTATAGGCTTCATTATACCTTTACTGACTGAAATGCACTACTTTTTCATCCAGTATTCCTTCATAGTAGAAAAATACTCTTTGGTTTTCAGAAGGACATATGGATTTTAGTATACAGAGATGAAAAGGAGAAAAGAAAATAGTGAGGAAGTTCAGCAATCGCGAGGTTGTTGAACAAGAAAACGACGCATTCATATTCCAATGCCGAGGTTACTAGAAAGTCGATCCTGGGAACTGTTAGTGAGGAAGTGTTTAAAGCGTTCAGAAGGAAAAGAGAGATAAAAAGGCTGTGGATAGGAGAAACGAAGTGAAGTGAATAGATGTCATACAGAGGAGAAGTAGGAATGTTTCATCAGGAATTAACAAGAAAAGCATTATGTAGATGTTAACATAAGTGTTATGCAGTTTAAATAAGTAGTGCTAACGAAAATCAGTAGAAATGGACTACAGCGACGATTAGCAAGGAAATGGTTTTGATGCGAACCGTGGAGATTGTGAGGATAGCATTTTCATGGAAAGCACTAGAGGTTTACTTGTTAGTAGGAAAAAGAAACTCACTTGGTGCGAATAGGAACACCGCGCAAGCGATTACCAAACAAATGAACATGATGACAACCAAAGCGATCACAACTCCTTTCCAGTCTCTTTCCTGTGGATCGACGTTGTCGAATTCCTGAAAGCAAGACCCGATCAGAAATGTATCATCAGGCGAGCGAGTGAATCAGTCATAAGAAAGACAAGACGAAGAAAAAACACGGAACTTTTCCTTTTCATTCCTATATGGGAACACAGTGAGTGTTCTGAATGTTCTGTCGAAAGAGCGACAGACGTTAAAAAACGAAAGATGACATGGAAGAGACGTCGACTTTCTCGAACGGTGTGAAAAGGAGGATATGTGAATCACTGAGTGACAGACGAACAATCGAAGACAGGAACTCGGTTTCGCTACAAACCCCAGTTTGACCAAGATTCCTAATGCAGATGAATTTTATGCTAGTCAACGCTGTTTTAAATACTCTGGCATAATTAGTCTATGGGTATACTTAATTCGCTCAATAGACGCGTGTAGCGTAGAAGCTAGAGGTTTGCTGAAATAAATAGCTGGTTTTGGTTCGACACCACAACCCGAGCGCCTCAACCCCTCCAACCCCGTAGGTTCAACGAATTGCAGCCAGGCTCATGTGGGAGGATAAAACATAGGCTTGATACACCAGTACATCCCGGAAAGTCACTGTATAGCCGAGTATCATCTAGTCACTTCCGTGATGCTACGAATGGAGTGAAATGCATAACTCATTGCTCACGAGTTGGTCAACGCCAAATGCTTTTGCGCTTTAAGATTTAATTTGCCCGTTTAAACAAAACAAAATCCAACTGGTAGGTGCTGACTGTTATAAATAAGCGTATTTTCGGTTCAATCGCAAACAAGTTACGATAAATATTTCGCCCCGTTGATTACCTTGGATTTCCTAGAATGTTTGAATTTGATGCCACTTGATGCTAACTCACACGTAATCTATTTCAAATCGATTTTTTAGCGGAAAAATATGAAACATTATCACCCAGAAGTTTTCTATACAGAAAATTTAAATCCATTGTCTGGGTAGCGCCACTGATCTTGTATATTTCTAAACACTCGAATAGATTACTATGTAGTGGGCATTGGATCGGTGAAGCTAAACGGTGTAGAAAGACATTTATTTGTTTTCGATCAGCTCTTATATTTCTAAAACGATATTCATTCAAAAACAAGACATATTTGAAAATTCGTCTATAAGATAACAAATAAAAAGTAAAAAAGGATAAAGCTGTTGGCGCTGATCAATCCCTGGGGGATGCACCATGCATTCGACTTCCTCACGCATCGTTGGAGGTGATTGGATGCATAATCTGGCCTTTACAATGGCTCATGGTGGCCTTCCGATGTATCGAGCCAGTGCTACTATCTTCCCAGACAAGTCTGGTACCAATTTACTGACCCGGAGGAATGGAAGGCTCGGTCGGCTACAGGCGCGGGGATCGATCCCACGTGTGTGTTGCAGGGCGCCTCTGACCACTGCGTAAGACGCGCCATTAAATAACAAGTAATAACATTTGATACAAATATATTCATTAAATAACACACTTATATTTTCATCCGTAAAACAAGACATATTTATAAATCCGTATTATTCAAAAACAGTTGACATTTCATTGGATTTCGCGAGCAATAATGACACTTCGTTTGGACAACGAAGTGTAAATATAACCTTACAGGGAAATGTTCTACACCTAAGTTTCAAGCACGTAGTGGACAGAATTGCGAATACCGTACCTTTGTTTCTGTGTAAGACCGCGAAGACGACATCAGATCAACCGCACACCGTTCACAAACGATGATAAATATGACTACCTCCGTTTAGAAATTCTTTTCGGATAGGAAAATTATGTGTGTCACAAGTATGATTATGATCCATTAGTGGCTTTCATTCTTCCCAAGAGCTTTAGTGCTAACCCGAATCTTTCACACATGTGTACTTAGCGAGTATATTTAGGAAATTTAGCTTTCCCAAATTGGTTTCGTGTTATGCGACCGTAATGTGTTTCCTTGAGCAGGTCTACTGTCAGGAGTGAACGGCAAATCCCGGCGGCTGCATGTGTAATGAGGATGTTGCGTGTGTACGAAAACACCCACTCTTGGCGAGCAGTCAACAATAACGACAAAATAAGGTAGATTCAAACAACATTGAACGCTACCGTACTCTAGTAATACAGTGTCCTATGAACACCTACTCCGTATCAGTGAACAGACGAAGCAGAGGAACAGTGCCATGTCCAGGTTGGGTGCCACTGAAGAATTGATGCTAACGTTTTGGCTAAAGTTCCTTGAGGAGAGAGAAAAGTAGCAAAGATCTATCTCGGTCTAAACACCAGGTTGGATTTGGCGAAGGTTCTCTGCCTGACGAACAAGAGTTCGGTCGGAGCCTGGAGATCACACACGACTTCGCTTATGTCACCATCTCCAAGAACTAATCTCCATGTTCGCTTATGTCACTATCGCGAACAACTTATCTCTACGAGTTGCCGCATGGTCAGATGTCCTTGGATATCTTACATTCTAATCGACTACGACGGGACTATGCATTTTAAGGCGGAGATTGCTAATTGAAAGCCGAGTCTGCTAGGCGGAAAATATGTCACATCTTCTGTCTCATCAACAGAGGATTCGTCATCTGAGCTGGAGCCCAATAGATAAGCTATCCGTTAGCTACAACTCTCACGGTAGAGTCTTTTGAGTGGCAGCAAAATCGAGTTAGATGGTAGGCACCAGTTGCTTCACAAAGCATCTTTTTAATCTCATCGTTGCCATGAAAAAATCCTGATCAAAAAAATTAATGTCTAGTTTCCATATGAAATCGTTTGATCTCATTTCACAGAGGTGGCTCCGAGGTCGCTAGAGGAATTGGGTGGGACCACTAAAAACCCATCCACCATACAACGCGGATATAACTTTATATATATATATATTACCACTTCAAAACAATGAGACTTTTGAAACCCACACTTTGGAAACTAGGGTTTAGCGCTTATATTTCTTCAAAAGGCGAATTCAGAGCCTACCCAATAAGTGACACACTACCTTTGATTATATTAGGGAATATACATATGACAAAACTTTTTCTATGAATAAACACTTGGTACTTACTTAGATACTTGAATGGCCCGTCCTCACTGGTTGTGCGGGCCCCAGCACAATTTCCATTTTTCGAAGATTTGCTGGTTAAGCCATTGTGGTTCTCTGAAATCCCGAGGTCAGCCTGGCCAAAGTCTATCCCAGGTCTTCACCACCACAGGCAGTCGCAGCCCTTGTGGATCAGAGGGAGATTTACCATCATGCGACTTTGATACCAGGACGGTGGAAGATCCTGATATTGGTTTATTCCTAGCTAGGCTTCCTGATGGAAACGCTGGACTCCTTCTCAGCTTGGGAGACCCTACCAGGGGATGAAACCCCCGCTATACATCGCAGTTCGACACCCAAGAACACCTTCCAGCCAGGATGAGGCGGTAAACCGCTGGGAGCAATAAGTAGAGTTAAAAATAAAAGTGGTCGCAATTGTTTTTTAATAACTAAAGAGCTAGAGGAATTTAGGATCAGACTTACGGAAATACCAGTTAGTAATGATACCGACTGCTGCATGATGAATTAACCGGAGGAAAACAAACGATTGACGAAGGGCAATCATTATCCATTGCAGCAGTCTTGTATAGAAGAGCACTGCCAAGTAATGTCACTTCATCAGACCGATGCTCCACTGTAGATTCGACTCGATGTGATCACGAAGATCCACATTGGAAGAAGGAAGAATTGTGGACAACCAACTTGGATCAATCCGGTCCTGAAGGCGACGTAGGGGCTGAGACGTTAGCCGGCTAAACTTTTTCTAACCAACCTTGTGTTAGCTTGTCAATGAAAGAATACATGTTGATTAACTCATTTTTTTCTCGAAGAGCAAACACGGAGTTGTTATTTTACTCTTTGCTCAGAAAAATGCTGTCATTTCGGCGGATGTTAGCTTTCTCAAAGCGTGGAAAGGCCAAGTTAACCGTAACTTAATCAGCGGAACACCTTGATGAGCAAAACAGAAAAATCTCGAAACTAAGCATTCAATCTCATTGGAAACAAAACGCCTTCCATCCATTCACCGCTTTCTATGAGTGTTCTAGAGAGTTTCTAGGCTTAAGATGCTTAACAACTCAAGAAGATATTAGTTTGTCGGTTTGAAAATCATTATTTTCCAAAGAGTATTTCACGAGGTCAACCGCATAGAATTTACATGGATAGGTGATGTGATTCTCTCACATTAAAGCATCAGTCTTAGTGTCATACAAGCGATTTCCAACTGGCTAGCGTCTTAGAGTGTTCGGTGGCATTCCAGTCACTACTACCGAATTCTCTAGACCAATGCTTCTTCTGCAGCTTTTCATAGCTGCACTTATTCCGTTGGAAATGAAGGGTGAGATAAACGGGTCCTTATTATTTCCAGAGTCGTTGTTAGGGCATAGGTTTTCCTTTGCACCTACCCCGAGGAACTGCAGTTTTGTACCCATCTAAATGCTTGTTTGTCGCTATAATTTAAGAGATTCTTCCTTCTGCTATCTTCCTGTGCACTTACTGGTGGGTGTTCAAAACATGATTCTCACAAGCTCCCTTTATGTGTCTTAAAAGTGAGAGAACAGATAATAAACTAGAATGTTTTTGTTACTTAGCTTTCGCTACCACTTGGTAATATAGCGGCTTTCGGGCAAATTGATTTGAACGTTCACCGACGGAAACCAGTCGTTCGTCGGTTTTTCGTGAGTGAAATTAATGCACCCTGACTGTCTGTTTAGCAATTCAGAACGTTTTTCCCTATCGTCTAATGTTGAGCAGACGATTACAAAGAAATCACCTATATGGCTACTGTAAAGTGACAGCCGGAGACCTATTACTGGTGGTTCCACCTTATAGAGAATTCCGCAATCAGATAGAGAATTCTCTATCCGTATAACTAATACAGTTCAAGCATCGAGGGGGATCGCGTGGCTGCAACGCCGCGCGCGACCTATGCGTCCATATCCCGTTCCGGCCATGGGACACACCCAGTAGTCCCGCCATTCGACCCAACGACGCCGTCGAGACCGTCCTTACCAGCCCCATCATTAATTCCACTCCGTTAATTTCACTTTGTAGATTCATTTGCTTAGGTTATAATGATAGTATATGTAGCCCTTAGCCCGTGAATCGCTGACACATTAGTGTTATCGTCGTCTTTCGTGTAATTATGTTATCCGTGTTAACATAAGTTAAATACATTCATTGTTCACAGGTACCTCACAAACGGTTCATAGTTCTTGCGCACTCCCGCGAACGCCCCTCACGTCCTCGAGCTGTGAGCCGTTACACACCTTGCCAACTAGTGCCAGTTGCTGTCTCATATTTATCACTCTAATTTGTGCGAAACACTTCCTGGACCATCCGAAGATTGAGCAGTTCAGGTACTCATTTAAGAGTGTCATCAACTGCTGAATCGAGAAGCCACGCACGTTTGTTGTTCCTTCGTGTTACATAAGGAGCTCGAGGATGGTTTACTTAGTGGAATCGTTTTATACGTTTGTACTAGTTATGTTGAATAGTCTTGCCGAGGTTAAAGGGTAGTGAGTTTTTGAAACATCATAGAAGAGACTTTACCCTATTGTATGGAACACATGCTAGAATATCGAACGAAATTGAACGAACACCAATAGACTCTTCATCAAAAGTGGCAGCGAAGAAGCTGTCGGCAAAAAAAGTTAGAGTGTCCCATTTCCTCCCTCTATAATTCCCTATGAACAGCCTGAAGAAGATGACAGAAAAAAGAGAGAAAAAAGAGGATGAAGATGCTGGTGACGAAATCAGCGATGAATGGCTTTGCAGTGTTTTGACTCAAAACCATTGGACATTCGACTACATTCAGTCTGCTATCATTCCACTGATTTTGTTTTGTTTCCGAGGAACGTGAACATTTAAAAGGCATTTGGGGCCAGCTTTTGGAAACTGATTGTGAACGAAATGAGCAGATATGAGCTACAAGAAGGATGCGTGAAGGAAGCAAATAACGTAGGAAACAGATTGCAACAATTGATGGATTTTTTAAACTCCATCCTGTTACCCTACTGCAGTTATGGTAAGATACGGAAGTATAAACTTCGTTTTAACCTCGTTTTGCCGATGACGTATGACCGACGTAGTAATTTGTAAAGGATTGAACTAACAATCAAACATATCAGTGGGAATCATAACAGAAGGTGGAAGAAAAATCTATCGACGAATCTGTCATGTGTCGTTTAGAAGTAGAATCGCCTTGCGCTGGTTCACATTATAAGGAGACGTTCGCTCCCAAATTACCCAAATTTTCATCTAGAAATGGTTACACTCGTATATAATGCTGAGATTTGCAAAACACCGGACTGTAGGTGTATGCGGTGGGGAACGAACGCGCGCTATTGTCCTTACCGGGGAGTAGCGCCCTTCACCACCACACCATCCGGGTCCTTCGTTTTGCCTGTCTCTCAGTTAGTTCTATCGACCTTTTTGCCATCAGCAATCACCCGTCAGCGGAATTGATCTGGGGAGCCCAAATCGGCATTGAACCCAGTTAAGCTGAGGCTTAGTTATAATCACAATCTGCGGTCCGGGGTTTTGCAAATATCTCAGCAATATATACGAGTTATATTTCGCAACATACCCTGCCATTAAAAAGAAAAAGGCAGTAAATAAAAGGGTTAAGAAATGGCTACAATTAGAAGAGATTTTTGGCGTATACCTGCAGCGATCCCTCTCTATCTGTAGATGCGGTGCAATCTTAGTGCTGAGACGTTCTAGTAAGACTTTACAGCTCTTTTTAAAGAAAAACTCTGTTGAAGTGCACTGGTCGACGTCTAGTCTGTGAGCGATGAACAGCTCTGAAGAGGTTTCCTCAGTGACCTATAGTTCTATCTCAGGAAAGAGTCCCTCAGTGGCGAGATTCATCGTTCAAGTAGAAGCATTTCTGCACCCTCTTCACCTGCAACATTCTCCAGGATGCGTATTTCGTTCGAAAGTAATAGCCACCTTCGTAAAATGAACCCGTCCGAAAAAAAGAATTTCTACAGATTATTAGGTATCGAAAACAACTTGTAATGGTCAACAACTGACATTGGACAAGCTATCACTTAGATAAAAAATAGGGCGAAATATACAGCAGGATAAAGGGCTGAAGAGAAAATGAATTAGTCGAAATAAAACTTCGTCCCTTTGCAAACCCTTCTGCAAGAATTGCAACCAATGCATCTCGGGGGTTACGTGTGAAGCGAATTGTGGGAATGCTGGACAATTTCAATGGCACTTATTTAAACATGGTAACTTCTCTCTAGAACTCGAGGAGCGGATATTCACAATGAATCCAAATAGTCGTGGCTCTGGTTAACGAAACAATTAAAGAGAACGGCTTGCATTACCTACAGTGATGCACTGAGCACTAAGTGGCCAGCCTGAGATTTTTGTGGGTCGTTCTCTTACGTTCTCTCGTAAGGTTGGTTCGTTTTGGCACATAGAACCTTTTTCCGTACATTTTGTGATTAGTGGTTAACTTATCAAGCAAAAAGACGTGGTGACGGTAGTCGAGCAGAACAATCTCTATTTTGCGCTTAGAAATATACAAAAACTTTTTCTCGGATGAGTTCATTGCCTGGTAATGTGACAGGTAATTGACTGTCGCTTCAGTTTTAATTACTACAATGAATCATAATTATTGCATGGAGTGTGCTGGTATAACAAATACCGGAATAAGCACGGCACGAGTTGAAGAGCGTTCTAAGTCCTGACATCAATGTGTTTTAAGGCTGGACCATAGCAGCATCTAGCAAATAGTTGCATACATACTATTCATACAGTTAGCAACCACTGAAGTTATCGCAGAAATATCGTTTGCTGTCAAAAAAACTAGCAAGTCCATAAAAGATGTGCGCCTCTCTATGTAGCAGGGACGCTGAAAATCGTTCGAGCGTTATGCGTTAAGGAGCTTAGAAATAATGCGAGGAAACCGAAAGAGTAGTTGGAAAAAGCGTGTACCATATTTCACAGTCATTCTCCCGGCTCCGCGGCCTTTCCTGATTGCTTCAGCAACCAGCACGTAACATGAGCAGAATGTGGACATTTTCATAGAATGCGCTATGATGCTAACGGGATTCATCCGTATACGGTGAAATAAACACTCGCAAAGAGAATGAGTGGATGCACACTCATGCTGGTCATCATGTCGATCCAAGTTTGAGCCGAAATTTGCTCACTTCAGTTTTTTAGTGCGAAAGAACTTGAACATTGTTATGTACGCTTCAAAATCAAATGGACCGAGAAAGAGTTACTTTTTAGCGACAACTGGTGGACCACTAGCCATTAGTTTGGGTTCTATGGGATATAAGGCGCACTTCGGGAGAACGCCGACTCAAATTTCGGAGTTTTTCACTAAGATGCTGAGAAAGGTGATGTCTCTCTTGTTACTCGAGCAAGTATAACCCACATTATGTCGTGAAATATGGGTCAGGGTTAGATGAAGTGTTGAAAGTAGTCAATATGAGACGTAGAAAGGATACTTCGCAAAGTTAGGCAAAGTGTTTAAAATTTAAGGCGGTGATCAAGATGGTAATGATACAAAAACGCTAAACCAACATTATAAAGTGTTCGATTCGGAGCTGGTTTATTGACAACGGACGATGATTTCTCCATGAATAAGTTAAGAACCTCAGAGATTTGTAGAGATTTTGCCCTATCGTCTTAATTGTATAAATGAATCCGGAGAACGTCATATTAATTTTAGATATGCTTAGAATTACAAATTCATCATAATAAAAAAAATGAAGCACGAAACTTGAATTTTTTAAAGCCATAGCGCCAAGTGAAACGTAAACACCATCATGTTCTGCTGGACGACAGCCTTGACGCAACAAAGAAAAAAACCGTTGAAGAGAACTATGTGCCACGCACTCCGGAGAACCAGAATTTCGTTTGATGTGATAAGGAAAGTGACTTTTTGTTTGTGAAGATCTTAGGTTCTAGCGGTTTTATTTTTTAATTATTAGAATTTATTCTGAGTTGCGTGTGGCGCAGTGGTCGGAGGCGCCCTGCAACGCACACAGGGGATTGATCCCGCACCCGTGGCTTACCAAGCAGTCCATCCTTCCGGGGTCGGAAAATTGGTATCTGACTTATCTGAGAGGATAGCAGCACTGGATCGATATAACTGTAGGGCACCGCGAGTCATTGTAAAGGCCAGATATGATTTCGATCACCTCCAACGGTGGTTAATGAAGTCGAATACACGGCCCATTCCTCATGGATTGATCAACACCGAATGCTCTATATTTTATTTTCAGTTGGTATACGATTATATGGTGGTTTAAAGTTGAATGCATTCATTAGTTTGTCTTCAAAAAACATTGGATGTTGGACATTATGCGTTAACGCGAAGAACGCAATTTGAAGGTGAACGTAGGAGAAAAGAAAAACCGTTATCCATCTTCGTGAATACGTACTCTAAAAAATGAGATCACCAACAATACCAAACGGCGACGGGTTTCCCGGTAAGCTGTGGCGTAATGAAAGCGATAATACAAGTCCTAAAACCATCGTAGGTCGAAATCCCTTTACTTCTCTAACGTGAAGCTCTTAAAGAAGCAACCTTTATGAACAATATCCAGCAGTCAGGGAGAGCACTGAAAATACAAGATTTCCACGGTGATGCTAAAAGAAAAAGATTCAATGCTCCAAAGTTGTCAATGTATTTTATATCCTTAATTAGCTAAAACGAGGTTGTTGCCAAACATTTATTCGGCTAACGTTTCGACGTGTTCGTCTTCCTTAGAGCCAATAATTCCAGCCCATGGTCCACAGTCCTTCACATTCTCGATCTGATATTTTCGTCGTACTTTCGAGTTAGATCTTCTTCAGTGGAGCACCGCTCGAATCAGGCAACCTCACTCGGCGATGCTCTCTCATTCAGGAGGGTCGTTGTTGATTATGATTGTCCGTCAATAATAATTTGTTTTTCAGCAAGCAGTTCCTTCTACAGAAGCCGGTATTACGTTAGGTAGCACATGGCGAAGTAGTACTGTTGTAAACCAACTTTTATTTATCCTCCGTGGAACGGTAAAAAGATAAAGCTCTCGACGTTGATCAATTCCTGAGGGATGTGCCGTGTATTATTCGACCTCATCAAGCTTCGTTAAGAGTGACTGAATGCATATCTGCCCTTTACAATAACTCGGGGTGGCCCACCGATGTATCGAGTCAGTGGTGCTATCCTCTCAGACAAATTGATGAACTTGGGGCGCGGAGATCAACCACAAGTGTATTGCAGGGCGCCTCTAACCACTGCGTTAGATGTGCCCTTAATCTCGGTATGGATACCAACTTACCATGTATAACTGATAAGCTAACGAGCAGTGCTCCATTGCAGAAGATTCTACTCGATACGAAGACGGAGACGGCACATCGAGAAGAC